ATACAACAGATCAATCTCGACAAACATGGGAGCTTCTGAAGAATTTTCTTTTTGACATCATTGAAAGCTGCTTTTTCAATAAAAATGGAACTCGCAAATTTACTTACCTTGCCATTGGTTATTTGCAAAATTATTTTGTTAACTCTTGAAGTTAATATTAAAAAGATGCTTGAGTTTCTGATTGACAATATCTATGTGGATTTTGGAGACCAAGTCTTCCAAAAATCTGTTGGAATTCCCATGGGTACCAATTGCTCCCTGTTATTAGCAGACCTATTTTTGTATTCATAGGAAGCAGAATTTATTCAAAACTTTATACAAAAGAAGAAGAAAACACACGCTGTGGCTTTCAACCTGACATTTAGATATATTGACGACGCATTATCAATTACCAATACATGTAGTTATTTCCATTCATATGTTGACACGATATCTCCCAGTGAGCTTGATATTATCTTCTTATTGTGTTATCTTCACCTCATTGCCCAGTATGACAAGTTTAACGAAGAAATCTGGGCTTGTTGACCTCCACTATGGCGACCAATGGGAAATAACTCATGCTAAAATCACGTCAATTGAAGACTATGTATAGATTACTGGGAATATGTAATAACTTTGCTTTTATATAACATGCACCATAGGACAATGGGGCTGTGTAATAATGTGTCATAAAGTCATCATCTATTTTTTGTACTGACACCAAAGTATATTGACAGTTCGAGGTATCATTAAAAAGAACCATATTATTTCGAAAATATTGGTTGGTATCATACCATTTTATCCTTGATGGTATCCAACTCTAATCATCAAACACTGGAACTGTGTAATAAATAACCTATATCATATGTTCCATATGACACTTGGACTATGTAAAACATTTCCTAAATCATTTATATCATAGGACACTGGGACTTTATACTAATAACTTTGTCTATATCATATGTTTGATAGGACACTGGGACTTTGTGATAACTTTGTCTATATCATTGTGTTTGAAAGAACACTGGGATTATGTAATAACTTTGTCTATATCATATGTTTGATAGGACACTGGGATTTTGTGATAACTTTGTCTATATCATATGCTTGATAGGACACGGGGACTTTGTGGTAACTGTCTATATAATACATGTATGTTTGATAGGACACTGGGACTATGTGTAATAACGTTGTCTATTTATCATGTTTAATAGGACACTGGGACTATGTAATAACATTTCCTATATGTATCAAATTTTTAATAGGACAATAAGTTTGCCTATATCATATGATTGAAAGAACACTGGGATTATGTAATAACTTTGTCTATATCATATGTCACATGTTTGATAGGACGTACAGTGGAACTATGAATTAATAACTTCGCCTACATCATATGTTTGATAGGTAATAACTTTGTCTAAATCATATATTTAATAGGATCCTGGGACTATGTAATAACTTTGTCTAAATCATATATTTAATAGGATCCTGGGACTATGTAATAACTTTGCCTATGTTATTATGCTGAGTGCTGCACATGACATCTTGAAAGACCAAGAAGAAAAGGACCAGAAGGATGAGAATCACTGTAAGGACTTAGACATAATATTTATAAATCCAGATTTAAAGGATAAGTTTAAAATATATTGCCTTGATTTTCAGGGCACACTAAGGTGGAGGATGGAGTTCAAAGATCACACGAACCTTTTTATTCTAGAGGAAAAAGCTGCTGCAATATATGTATACTGAAAGGAAAAGGAAACGCAGGGTAACATAATATACGAAGATTTTTTTGATTGTCTGACCAAACAGTAGGAAAACTGGTCGGAGGGGTATCTTGATTACTGTGCACTAAAATCGGTGTTCAAAATTACTCAACCGTGAAATGTATGACATCATGTAAGGAAAAAGGTAAAAAGCCAAACACACATGCATATTAATGATGACAGTTTTTTCAAGACATCATATAATACAATTTGATGCACCTGAGGTATACACATCGTTTTTCAATATTTAATATAGACAGTTTGAATTTCTTGCAATCGTGGTACGGCTGACGGAAGTTTCATGGGGTGTGCATATTGCATAGCATAAGTCAAACAAAAGGGCCAAAACAGGTTGCTGTGCAGTTTGTGGGGAGTTTTTCCAGCATAGAACGTCTTATAATTTCTTTATCCTTAGAGGGGAACTTAAAGGGTTTTCAACAACCGTGACGATGACGTTGGCGCGTAACTACGTCATGTCAAGATTGGGATATTCATCCTGCCTCCCCTGTAATTGACATCTCATTACCACTGAAACCTCTATTAATAAAGTAGACAATGACAATCATTACATTCACCCATAAAATGAAAGAAACCGATTCCCCAATTTGGTTCGTGAGCTTGTAAACTTTACGTCGGTGTTCTTTTTGAATCATGCGCACGTGCGTTGAATGTCTAATTTTCAGCATTTTTATCCCCAACCCAATGCAGCCAGAGACTGTCAAGACTTTCTGTCAATTTAGTTCATCTTTTTCTCCAATTGAACATCTGTTGGACTAACTCAACATAGGGCTTATAGGCATCAGAAAGCCGAAGTGACTCTCCACCAGCTAAGGGCTACATTGTCCGAATGATTGAATTATATTCGCATGAGAAAGATAAATGCACTGGTGAACTCCATGCAGGGGAGAAGCAAGGCTGTGAAAAATGCGCGAGGGAGGGATACCCCGGTAGATGATTTTGATTTTCACTTTTAGGGGGTACCATCAAGTGAGATTCAATAACTCATGAATTATCAGTCAAAATCAAATGAGATTTGGGTTACGTGTTGACTAAGGATGAGTTTAAATGTTTGATTACAATAATGGAAAATACATTTGAAAAAATAGCATAAAACCACTTCAAAAGTTTACCCTGCTTTTCTTTTTCCTTTCAGTATATTATCAAATATTGGTGAAAGCTTTGTTACTCAGGGCAGGAAAGGCCACAGCAGGCATTCCAAACTGATACTTTTTTTAATGAAAGTATGAAAAAATAGAGATTTAAAATGTGTTTCTGTAAGTCTTTGATGTATTGGAAATTCTTTTATTTTACATTGTGCAATATACAGTTATACAGTTTCTTTGTCCACTTTTGTAGATCACAACTACTCCAACCTCAGCTAATGCAACATACTTAGAATGTAATGAAATCTCCACAGGGGTAAGAAAACAAGTCATTTCTTATACCTAAGATATATATATATATATATATATATATATATATATATATATATATATATATATATATATATATATATATATATATATATATATATATATATATATATATATATATATATATATATATATATATATATATATATATATATATATATATATATATATATATATATATATATATATATATATATATATATATATATATTAGGGATGTCAACGAATAGTCGACTATTCGACTATCAGTAGAATGGACCGACGATCGAATAACGAAACGACATTCGAATAAATAAATTCAATAAAAGAGTGATAAAGATATGGAATTCTCATCCTAAAATTGAGAAACCTTCTTTCCTCAGACACAGTCGATAAGATATTTTTCCTCATTAAAATCTGCTGACTTTACATGTAGATAGTACAGTAATTAGAAATGCTTCACTTCCGCGTGAATTATTTGTCAATTAATGTGTTGTTTTTGTAATAAAATTATCTCAGTATACTGGGCTTTGTTTGTAAAATTATTAATTGGACTTGATCTCAGATGATGTACCCATTATAGCCGTGACACGTTTGGACGCTACGATAATTATTATAAAATCAATATTCTTTTACAAATTTCAAAGACACTTTGATAGCCGGGACCAAAAGTATGTTCAACTGTTTAACATTATCACAGACATCTGGCTTGTGGATAGCGTGTGTTTTAACCCCCCTTCCCTCAATTATTTTAATAAGCTTTAAAAAATATGTAGTACTATCATTTTTTATGCTTACTAAAAACGTCTTTACAGACCGATTTATGGACAAGATTTAGTTAATATAAACACGCTATCCACATTTTAGGTGCATGTGAACATCGGTGTGTAACATTAATTTTGTTGTTACTTTTAATAAATTTAAAAAAAAAACGGTTTTTGAGAAAAAAAAAATTTAAAAAATTTAAAAAATTTAAAAATAAGTCATGTACCAAAGAGGTTTGAAATAAAATTTTATTTTCCGAAAAAGATTCGAATATATTCGACTATCGTTCGAATAATGCAATCGAATATTCGACTAAGGAAAATAAATATTTTGACATCCCTAATATATATATATATATATATATATATATATATATATATATATATATATATATATATATATATATATATATATATATATATATATATATATACATGTGATGTTGAACAGATATGGATAAATTTTACATTGTTTAATTTGCCTTATGATGAAATTCTTGTTTACAATAGTTAAAATACTATCAAGTGGTTATAAATTTTGATATATTTGTGTTTTGGTTTACTAATTGTCATAACAAAACACAGAGAGTAAATATTAGGCAAGAAAAGCACTTCGTTTATTTAACACTAACTGTTTATTATTGTCAATTTATGTTACAGGCAATTTTATTGGCAGACATCATTCCAACTCTAGTAATTAAACTGACTGCACCATTCTTTATTCTTCATATTAGTTATAAGTAAGTAGGAAATAAACATTTAATACCCCCCCCCCCAACCAACCCCTGTTGAATCTGTACTTGCTGACATGCTATCACATAAATTTAAATTTGTATTTTTCAATGAAATAGTGTGTTATTGTAAAGTGAGCAGTGATTGATGCTGAACTTTTTTTTTTTAGAGTTCGTGTTTTGGCATGTGTACTGTTTTCCCTAGCCAGCTTCTTGATAGTGTCATTCTCCACTGGAATATGGATGAGTATATTTGGTAAAGAAAAAATACAATTCCAAAGATCTTCTATCAACGAGTAATAATATAAATAAGTTTTATACATGTATAAAACACCTCGGACAACGTTACTTGTAATGACTGTCATACCTGTTCTTATGTTTATAAGGTAAATTGAGCAACATGTACAATGTATTCCAAAATGAAGCTTCTCAAAATGTTCAGTCGTATTTAGACTTTTTTTCAAAATGTTATCATTTTATATTTTTGAACAACTTTCATTTCAGCTTCTTTTTTGTGATAAAGAAACCAAAAAAATTCTATCAGAAGGAATACATAGTAAAATACAGTGAAGACACCAGTAGCCTGTTAAAGGAATCTGATGATGCAGATGGTAAGCTCCAGTGATGAAAGATTCAATAAGAATATTTGCGTATGAGTAACATACGTGTATTTTTACAGAACTCCAGTGATGAAAGTTTCAATAAAAATTTTGTGTATGAGTAAGATACATGTACATGTATTTTAATAAATTTTTTGAAAACTTGATAACATCCCCATTACTGGACTGTTTTAAAAAAGTGCCTACATTATTGGAGGGTGCCATGATTTATGAATCACCTTTATCAGTGATATTTTAGTGCTATAAAAATTGCTGGTATTGTATAAGCTGTTTTACAGATATTGAACCTATAAATTAATTTGCAAATCAATTCAGTGATCAAATAAAAGAAAAATGTGTACATCTTTAAATTTAAAATAATCAGAATTAATGCAGAAAAAAACTTACGAACAAACTTACTCATTTAGTTACTAAAAAATTTTTTTCCAGATAAGATAAAAAGAAGACTTGCAATTAGAGATAAATTGCAACTTCTTAAAGTAAGTAAATGGATATACACATGTAGGTCTTGATGGCATTACATGTAATTCTTAATTTAACAAGGACCATTGTAATTGCACCCTATTGGAAGTTTTTAAGCGTTTTCCTCTATTTAATTTTAAATCAGTATACCGTATATTGGTAATTTTTGTATCGGAATACAGTACAACATGCTTATAGCGAACACGCTTATAGTGAATTGACGCTTATAGCGAAGTGATTTTCATTTCCCATGACATTGTAAACTTAACAGATATAATGAATAACTCTTAAAACGAAGCAAATTCGTCCGTCCCTGGCACTTTGCAATAAGCGAGTTTTACTGCGTTTGGTGATTTCAATATCAAAAAGAAGTTAAAATATTGGCTTTTTATATTTTGGCGGACTTTTGTTTTTGATACTCTGTATAAGAACTCTGTGTAAACATTATGGAAATATTGGCACTTCATTGTTTTGGCAATTTTTTTGATCCACCTAATAAACCAATGTTTGCAGCAAACCAATATTACCTGATATGTGGTATACAATCATGTAGATAGTCCAAGCAGATATACTTTGATTGATCATTAAATCAAATAAAGAGATTGACAAGAGAGATTTAAAACTTAGCAACAAAAAGAAGGATATTTGCTTGTATTCAAATGCTTTACTTATGCAGGTTTCATCTTTAACATATAAATGTACATGTAAAAAACAAATTAAAAAAAAAAAAAAACTTCTGAGATCTAGATTGAACAGAGTGAAGTTAATATGATTATAGACTTTTTGTAAAGTATGCCAGGTTTATTGGATAATTTATCAGAATATTTAATTGATGAAGCAGTAGAAAGATGTGGTATTTCAAAAAAAATAGTAGTCAGGGCATAGTATGCTTACACTATATAAATCCTTAGAACACTTTGCAAAAATAGTTTGGTATTGATTATATAGAAACAAACTGACAGTAAGCATAATAATAAAGGAATAGTACCTCCAAATAATAACATTAACAATAATAATGTCAAGTACATATAGAACACTTCTTGAAAAGAATTAATTTTAAAGTTTTCATTTAAGAAATGAATTTAATTTTTGAAGATTCATGAGGACATGAACTACGACGCTTCACGCCGGCATATTTCATGAAGCGCGTTAGCGCTTCATGATAAATATGCCGGCGTGAAGCGTTGTAGTTCATGTACCTCATGAATCTTCAAAAATTAAATTCATTTCTTATATTTACATTATTTTTCTGATGAGTTACCACAAATTTCACCATTCAACTGTCATTTTTAAAGCAAAACAGTTTGCACTATAGTTTTGACGTCAAGTACGGCATTATGACGTAACAATTGAGATATTCATGCTCATCCATGGTAGTTCATGAGAAATGAACAGCATTCTAATTTGCAAAGAATATTAAGAAAAAATATTTGGAAATGTAAATATTTGAAAATAAATACTAGAAATTTTTCCCACTGTATTATTTTGTAGCCCTTGATGAAGTATATGATGCCTCTATGTGTGGTATAAATAGCAGAGTACTTCATTAACCAGGGATTGGTATGTAATAAAAATAAGTAGAGATATATTGTATTTACAATTTGTAGTACAATGTATGTTAACAACCAATCACACTTCACTGTATTTACTTTAATTTTGAAAGATAATCAAATGATCAGTTTTCTGTAGCATTCTGGATGAAATACACTGTAGATTTTTCTATTTTTCAGTATGAATTGCTGTATTTTAATGATATCTGGCTGTCTGAGAAAGAACAGTACAGATGGTATGTATGACATCTTCACTTATACAGATATTTTATATTGCATATTTATCACTTGTTTACTCCTTTGTGCAGTGGTTATAGCTCATATGATATTGTTTTTATATCAACAGTTGTGATGTTGCAATAGTTTTTGCATAAAAGTGATGACTTCAAATGAAATGGATTCACATTTAAAAACACATATGAAAACAGTATGAAAAGTGATAGTTTATGTAAAACATATGATAAAAAGAATCTCCCATGGGTGTGTTGTTGGATATGATTTTTATTCAACTAGTATGTTTTCTAGAAAACACACAATCCATACATAAATAGCATATCCAAGAACAAACCGTTTATGTACATTCCATTGGTAACTTTAAGTGAATTTTTTAGAAAGTTTGCCTCATTTGTACAATTCTTTCATTGTTTGCTCAATGAAAAAGCATTTGGAGTAGTTTTGCAAGCAGCTAGTAGCAAACAATATAAAAATTAACACAATAACAAACCTGTATAACCAAGAATGGAAGTGTGTAAGAAAAGAAATATTATACATAAATATAAATTCACTTTAAACAGGTATCAAGTGGACTTCCAGTTAGGAGTATTTATCTCAAGGTCTTCAGTCAATGTGTTCAAAATTGACAATTTGTGGATACTACCAGTTTTATAGGTACACAGAGAGAGATAAATCTTTGCTTTTTTTTCACTTAATAAGTGAAATAATAATACATGTAGATTTATTATCTACTTGGTGTCAGATGAGAATGCTCTCTTGGCTTGTTGACTTAAAGAATGTTCTTTGGAACAGAAGATTTTTTTACTTTAAAATACCTTTATTATCTTGCACTTCACAAAAATCATTAGGAGAGTTAATTTTGTCAATGAGCTAGTACAAACTGATTTGTTACTTCTTATTTTTCCGTTGGATTTGCCAGTCTGTAGGTCGTGTAATGAATACCAGTTAGTTTTATGTCTAGCAACCAGTTGAAATCCAACACATGTGTTCACAATGTGACAGATTAACTTAAGGTAGAACCTATGTCGGAAAAGTCTTTGTCACAAGATTTTCAAACTTTTTAAAATGATAAATAAGCACTCGCTTATCAATCAGTTAAAAATATATGGTATGTTTCCTTGTTGTTAAATGTGCAGCCTGTACAACTTGGAATGATAATTTTACAATGCGACTACATATTTTCAGCCATTTTTAGGGGTACTGGTCATAAAGAGAATATAGAAAATCACAAAAATACTTCTTCAGACATTGTCTTTGTCAGAATGTTTTCAATCTATAATATGACGAAGAACATACCCAAATAATTATAAAATGTGATTAAAATATATACTTTTCTCTGCAAACTAATGAGAGACACTCTATTTATCAATACTTCTGTTGTTGATCTTTTTGCACTTACACAGGATTTAATTATTAAACCACTGTTTTGGGATTACGTTCAAATTTACAATGTGAATAATGATAAAAAAATGTATTTTTTTTTAATTCAAAAAGATATTTTAGGGAAACATTATTATTATACACCAACCATTATGAATAATTAATAATTATGAAAAGGAATGCACTTCATTTCATGATAGACATTACAAAATTTACACACAATTTTTAATAGATCTTTGACTCAAACACATTTCTTCAAGATATTGTGCTATTTATATTTCTTAGGATTTTTGCATTCCTTCAAAATAGTTGCATGCCATTCACATTATCACCGTTGTGTAACTTCATTACATGAGACAGTCTTGAATTAAAGCCGTAAAGTACGAGAAAAAGTAACATTAAATTAATTATGACGTCATAATGGATCTGATAACCGAATATAATAAAATATAAAAATATCACTATATTATAATACAAGTGGAATGGGCATTTTGTTTTAAACGGAAGCTTTTTGACTGAGTCCCCTGGTAGATCAAAACATACAAACAATCAGGTATTGGCAATGACGAAAGACGCTATCAATACAGACTGTCGAAAAAAGAATACCTATTTAGTACAGTGAAAGTGAGAGTACCTTCCGTAACTTACTTATACAAGTTTTCATAAGGTCTTATTTGTTTGCGAGATTGGTCCCTCGACTGTTTATGGAGGAATAAAGGGGAACTCGAGTGTGTGAGACAGTAAAATTCCTGGAATTAAAGAGGGGCTTGTCCACCTTTCATAAGCAAAGATGAAACGTGACGTTGCTTCATGCATTTTGACGTTATCATCCGTGCGCTGTAAGCCGATGCCACATTTAATATAAAATCCCATATTTTGTTTATTTGAGCATGAAACTCTGAGAAATTTGCTATGTATATTGATGAAAAATGTACTAAAGAGTAGGGAATATTTTAGAAAGCAGTATTGATTATTTTTCACTCTAGACTACTTGTCCACGATTTTATCGGACAACCCTCGTATTTCGTTGCTTGGTTGAAATATTTTATTTATTCTGACTAGGTAAGAAAATTTAACAATGATCCTTATAATAATTTTAAAAAAGAATTCCATGTCATAAAACCATTTGACCAATTTTTCAAAACATAATCTAGACAACTTAAACAAAAAGAAAACGTAATTTGCAAAAATTCTATCATTCAATATTTTTGAATTTACCATTGAAATGCAAGTCCCTCATATTAGTGTTTAACTGTAAAAATTTCGAATAGTGAAGCTGACCTTAATATTGCACAGGACATCGTTGAAGAAGACATAAGCATGACAAAAACCCGTCATGTTCACATTACTCGAGTACGAGAAAAACCATCTATGATGTCATACGTAAGCTAAATAAGCGAAATAAGATATACCTATATAAGATTTCCGTCATCATCCATGCAAAAATAATTTTTGTGTTCCCCGTTTCTCAAAATATTTCATCATATACTGATTATGACCTGTTTTTACATAATAATACCACCCTAGGCCTGTATTCACCGAGTATGATCTTGCTGTACTAACAGATCGTGTATAACGTCGCCGACTTGTTGGATGCTCAGTTTAGGGAAACAGAGGAGTGGATCAATCTTTTATAATTTGAAGATGTTTACAAAAATGTTAAAACTTTTTTTTATATATTTTTTTATATTAAGTGGTAATTAAGGTAAAAAAAAATTTGTCAAAAAACGTTTTTCCTTACATAAACGGAGATTATGACGTAGTTGAACAGAGTCATGTGACCATGTGTCCTTCTTCCCTCAGGTGAACTGAGTACTTATATTTCCACTTTCTAAAATTTTAATGTATTATTTATCAGTAACCAAGCCGACGGAATTTATATTATAAAGTTCGGGATAAATGAACCAAATAATGCGTATTTTTAATAGAGGATTTAAAAAAAGAGCTCACATTTTCATTATTCCTGGTTGTTAATAGATTTCAATAAAGTGTGATACATGTAAATGACCTTTCACTTTCAATGAAGCCTTTCTATCTGTCTAAACATCTGTCGAGGAATAATTTTTTGAAGATCGTACAAAAAGAAAAAAAGAAGAAGAAATTCTGCAAAAAAGAGCTTGTAAACATTGATAGTTCACTAAAATTATTGTGTGGAATTGAATATTAAAGAAATAATAAACTCACCACAACCCACAATATATCCGAGAAGCAGTACCAAAATGAAAAGCATTGTAATGTTTTGCAGCGGAACACATAGATACTGTTGCATGTCTTTTAATTGTGTGAGTTGATGTTTTAAACCTTTCGCAAAGATTACATGTAATACTATTTGAAAGCTTATGTGAAAGTGATACAGCATTTTAAAGTAGCATTTCGGTATTCCTCTGATGTTTATGGATTCAATACGTACATGTACTTAAATCACCACAATGCACATTAGAGAAAATAAAAGTACATATTTTCCCTTTCTAATGTCCTTTGTTAGCATTTTGCACCGAAAAATATTTAAAGTGCTATTCGTGGGTGCACAGAGTACTAAAATGGAGAAGCAAACCATGTATATTAGAAACGTTTTAATTTTTGCTTTACGCCATGTTTATTCAATTTCCACTGATGTTTCTTATTATCATTAAATTTATTTTTCACTTTAACAAATTATTTTAAAATTCCTTTTGTGTATTAAACTAGTGATTCAGAAAAAGCTGTGTGGTTTTCAATTTATTTATCTATTGGTTTCTTCTCGAATTTAATCACGAACTGACCGCAAACATTAACACTTCGCGTAAGTCTTGCGCCATAGAAAAAAATTTGAAATGATTGAGAACCCCATTAAGGGTAGATTACTCTAACTGTATAGAAAAATTAAACCACAGAATTTACGAAATGCTGACTTTAAACGAGATTGTTGATATCCTTGTTACATCAACTTATCTGTCAGTAACCTGTCTCTGATGAAAAATTGAGAACGTGCTCAGGGCATTTTCTTAAGTATCGTAACACAATATGCAGGTGATAGCGGAATATTACGACATGAAGAAGGAAAGTTGACGATGAAACAGTTGAAGTCATCTCGTTTGTTAAACAATTTACTTGTTAGTTTACACAGTTCATTTCAATGAGTAAAAAGTCAATAAGGCTAAAAAATATTGTGTGTATCCGGTAACCCAACAGACCCTAATTTAACCCACCGACCTTACTACTTTTCATTACAAATTGGGATTTTGAATTGCACTTTAATTCACTGGTGCACCTTTCTTACAGAGAGTCAATAATGCTTGTCTCGGAGACTGTAAAACTGTCTATCCAGATGATTTAAAGAATACACTCGTTTTGATTGTGTATATTTACTCATATTTGTGTATGTTTAAAAGAGTTATCACTACTTTCCTTTCCTATTTTTTTTTTATTATTTTTTTTTGGGGGGGGGGTGTTACCAGAAACACACATATTTTCATTTGGCCTAATCAAAGCCTAAAATTTCATCTCGTTAAAGTATATCCATGCAAGTATGGAAATTCAAAATATCAGGATTTTTATTCTGGACTTCAAGAAAATGCTTATTCCTAGATTCTTTTTGTCAGTCCTTAAAACTTTTTTCCCTTAAACTTTATAACTCTATGACAAAATCTTATCTTTCAGTTTTTCCCCAATATGAGTACAGAAAATTACTTGAATTGACTTTCAAATCTTAAAAAACGGGACATATCACAGGGAAAACTTTTACTAGCACATGCGTACTCGATTTCAACAAATATATAAATTATTTGAAAGATCTTTATCAGAGGGTCTTGTACAAATAAGGTATCATTTCTAAACTTTTATTGGAATGTAAATACGGGTGGCCATGTGATCAAATCCCACAGGCCTACCCGTATCTAAATCCCGATAAAAGTTTAAAAATGATATCTTATTACCTATATTTACATTTGAGACTGATTTACAAGGTAAATTATGTACTAAAGTTTTAAACCCATAAAATGATTTTTTTTTTCAAACCTGAACGGTATAAACTGAACCAACAAGCTTAAAGCAAAAAGCTGAAAACTAGTTTTAATTTATTCCTGACAGATATCAGATCGTTACAGTTGCAATACATAGTTCTACAATATTCAGTCAACATTATTAGTAACTATGTACTTAAAAGTCCTTCATGATTATTTCACAGCTTCGAGCAATGGTATCAATCTCCAAGGAAAGCTGATTTATTATCTCCACTCGGTGTACGTATCCAGTTTCTTACTTTAGTTTTTGGATTTTCTTCATACATCCATCCTGTTACTGTAATGTTGAATGAACAATATATATATATATATATATATATATATATATATATATATATATATATATATATATATATATATATATATATATATATATATATATATATATATATTAGGGATGGCAACGAATATTAAAACATTCGAATATTCATTCGATGAGTTGATATTCGAATATGAATTTAAGATTCGAATATTCGGTGTTTTTCAGATTTCATAAGTAGAAGTACTGTGATTAATAAATTTTGATTAGAACAGTGCTGGTTCCTCAGTTGAAGCTACTATAAACACACATGTTTCATTTGTTAAAATTATACTTTTCTAAATTTAAATCAATTATTTATTTCAAACATTGGCAATATCAAATGGGATTTCTTATTGTACACCTACAAAAGTCTTCATACAATTTTACTTCCAACATAAGTATACCTACGCTAAACCTTTCATGAGAGTAGGATGATGCAAATTTAAAATAAAACAGATTTTATTTAATTTACCGAATATTCGAATATATTCGAATACTTTCATTGAATATTCGAATATGAATTATTGACAAAATTGACATCCCTAACATATATATATATATATATATATATATATATATATATATATATATATATATATATATACATATATATATATATATATATATATATATATATATATATATATATATAACCTCCTTTACAAAAAACAAACTTTTATTTTGTAAATATATTGTATTGGTATCTGGCAAAAAGGATGTTTCTATATCTGTTTGACACTGCATTTTTACATGAGTCTTTGACGCGAATTTCCTAACGAAAAAAAGACAATTTGACGATTCTTTTTTTCCCCTCTATATATCGAGCAGAGCTGGTGTAGCATGGTTTTAGTCCTCCTGTTTTTCAAAGCGATAATTAATGAATGAATAAAAATGTCTTTAAGCAAACTGGATTATCACGTTTCGAAGTTGCTGAAAATTTCAATGTAGGATCGAAATACGTAAAGATGTATGATCTTTACAGATCTTAATGGATACAGGAACAGGAATTTGGTACATTTTGATTGTCCTCGGAGTGAACGCTATCCTTTGGGTCTTAAAATCGATTTCAAATGTCAAGATAAGTTGCAGAATCATAGAGGGAATATTTATGTTGCTATAGGTGGTATCACTCATGAATTGGTTCATCAATGAAATCAGGATTTTCTGCTAAATGATCAAATTACGAATAAGCTATAGCCATTAGCCACGTACCTCTCTACCTAGATTAAAAAGGGGTGCATTTGCCATCTCGATTTGAAACGCTTTGAAGTTTTGCAATTGTGAAAGTAGATGCTGAAATACTTGTACTGGCAGATATTGTTTGTAAGATTTAGAAAACTTTTCCTTTGATAACATTAAATGTCTAATCACGCATTCCCATGAGGGGGCTAAAAGTTTTCATAGATGTACAAACTCACTAGTTGAAGAATGCTAGAATATCTTTCAGTTAGTATAATTTCGTTAACCATGACATTTATTAATTTAAATTCAAACAAAAAATCTCTATGCATTGAAGAAGACATTTTGTTTTAGTTTAGAACATGTTCTGCATTGTTCAAAGTCGGTACATCCTGTCAAAGTGAGTTTTTTTAAGACAACAATAAAATGCACAAGTTTTGTCTTTTTACATGAAATGAGCTCAAAAACACATGATGGTCTTGATACCCGGGTGCACAGTAGTATTAAGTATTGTCATCAACAATGTAATACGAGAATAAAATATTTTGCTTCCTTTAGATATTTCTCCAAGATAAAACATTTAACTTACCGATATCAATTCCGCGCCGAGTTGGCACATTGTCCTGAGTTCTGTTTGCTGAGTGTAAGATTGGAACTGGACTTACAGTTGCACTCTGATTTTTGCTTCTTGAAAGAGCAGGAGAGAATCTCGTGAGATTGGTCGTCTGGAAAACAGGGCGCTCCGAAATCGGAAATTTTATATATGGCCCCTGAATTACTTTGGTAGTTACACCCGGTGACGAAGAACCTAAAATTGAATTAAAATTCTAGGAACAAGAAAACTCAGAAATGTTTGTCAGTGTTTATTAAACAAATGTTGTTTTGCGCATATTTTTAAACCAAATAAATGAAATAATTTAAGTTTCCTCACTGCTTTCTAAATCTTGTTTGTTTGTTTGTTGCTCGCAGTCTAAAATAGGATCGTTCTTTTGTCCTTCACTGGATTTTAACTGAGTTGGAAATACCATCGATACAGCTGAATTTGATACCATGGACTGTTCTCTCTTTTCAAATAGTGGTATATCCGTTTCCTTTCTCTTTGTCTCTGTTACAACAACTCTGGCCTTCTTTGGTTCATCAATCTCTCTATTAAAATGAGATCTGACATATTGTGATTTTGTTTTTCGTTTTCCGTAAGCACATCAAAATACATATTCAAATAGGATTTTTCATCACATAGAAATAACATGTAAAAATCGCAAATGCTTGTAGAAAGGATTGCTATATGTAAAAAACAGTCCAAAACTATCCGTAACGAAGAAGAAAAACTAAACGAATTGGGAAAGATAATTTTGATGCTTTATAAGTATATTCTATCTATGTCCAAATGATATATATTTAAGCTCCCTCGACATTGATTAACGGGTTAGAATAACTACTTAATGATTAAGCTTTGGATGGATGTTGATCTTACTTTTTCTTTCTACACCATCTCCTTCTCCAAGCAAAATAAATTAATATGGCGAAGGCAATAATGACAACAGCCAGAAGAGATATTGACACTCCGAGAGGAACGGCAATATCATCGTCCTTCTCTGCCATACGGGAGATAACTGGTCCAGGATATACAATTCTATTTCCAAAAGGGACTACTTTCTGAATTGAAAATTCATTCCAAGTTTTGCCTGAAAGTATAATGCGATCCATAACTTTAAAAAAAATTAACACGAGAGATATCACCTACATAAAAATTTACAATATAAAAACCTAAAAGAAAAATACTATACCGTTCACGTCTAGTGTTGGTCTGTCATCAGAATCAAGCTGAAGTACGTTAAGAAACTCGCCGTTTGTTAGAAATACTTTATCCTTATACAAATTGTTTATATCATTTGTTATCTCCGTCTTTACAGCATACACATGAACCATGAGAAATCTGAATAAAAAGATTTAAAAGTATAACACATATGACAAGGCTTCAATGTATTTCAAATTCTTTCTTGAAGAATAAGCATAGAAATGTCTTGAACAAATAAGTGGTTAATCATTGCCGAATTCATAAAAGTAGCAATACACAATTGTGCACCTCCAAAAATAACTTACATTTTGCACACTGTTTAATTATGTTACCCTGACCAAGGATATTGTATATATATCGATGCTTAAACTAGTACATGTATTTGAAACACGATGACATTCAACATATACACAGTAGTTCCTAGGTTTAGTTAGTTTTACAACTAGAAAATGCCATAGTAAAAAAGTCTACTTTAAAAAGGAGATCAGTATCTACCCTTTGTTGAAAAACTAGCCATACAAATATTTGAATCAATATAAAAGATACAGTATAAAAATAAGATAAGATTTTTTAAATTAGTGTGAGGGAAATCTTTGATTCCTAGAAAATGGGATATTATGATTCTCTGTTGACAATCAGGAATTGCATGACATACTTTTGTTATAAGGGACTGTGATTTAAGAAATTGAGAAACCTTACACTGATATCATTCAATATCAAAAACACCAAAAGTATGAAGATAATTTTGAGCTGAACCTACGATGCTTTTTCCTCTATACACCATCTTCTGACGTATGCCGTGGGATATTTGAAACGCAGAGATTCCTCTAATTGAAGAAGGAAATTCGTTTCTTTTTGAAGAAATGATGAAAAAGCCAAATCGAAATAGAACGTGACCACGACATCGTCTGGATCAAACCTGTCAACCCGAATAGTGGCTTGTTCTGATGACATCAGAACTGGATCTCCATTGTCGTGTGCCATAACGTGGATAATATATTTTGACTGGACCAAATCTGCCTTTCTGTTTACTACTCCTGAAAATTCGGACACACTAAAATACTATTTGCCTAATATCAAAAATATAATTTTGATCCCTTCATACTGAATCAGTTTTAGTTTTTTTTTAATTTTATTTACATCGATATAATATGCAAAGAAACCTTTGAGGACACTTACCAAGCTGAGAGACAGAAAAAGGTGATGATGTGTCTTTTGGATCAAGTCCAAAATTCAGTGCAGCGTTGCGTCCCAAGTCAGAATCTGAAGCTGTGATGTGAGTGATGATTGCATCACAGAGATTGATATCGGATGCCTCTGTATTATAGAACAAAGGAGAAAATGTTGGTTCATTGTCGTTCACGTCTTCGATTTGTATGCTAATATTTACCTTAGTCGACAAAGAAGGTTTACCGCTGTCTCTTGCTACAACAGTCAGAATGAATTTTTCATATGTTTCCCTGTCCACTCTTTTTTTCAAATATATACCACCTGTTTCTCCATACACACCAAAATAGTAATCAGCTCTTAAGCCATCTTGTGTTGAAATGTCAAGCTCGTATCTGATGGCAGCGTTGTCTCCCATGTCTTTGTCCAACGCTCCCGTCTGGAGAACTTTACTTCCGGTAGCTAGATTTTCGAAAATGGCTGTAGAATATTCTGGACGCTGAAATACTGGTGCATTGTCGTTGATATCTGAAATTTGAATTTTGACCGTGACATCCGAAGACAGAGAAGGTGTTCCATCATCTGCGACTCTAAAGAGTATACGATATTCATCTTCAATTTCACGATCTAACACTCCTGTGGTGTAAATGTCCCCGGTAATTTCATTTATTCTAAACTTTCCTATCGACCCCTTCCAATACGTTGCTATTTGATATGTCAACTCGGAGTTTGATCCAATGTCATCATCAGTGGCTGTGATTGTTCTGAGGAAAGTGTTAAAAACAGCGTGCTCTTGCACAAGAAATTCGTAAAATGTCTTTGAGAAAGTAGGAGTATTATCATTCACGTCTCCGATATTAATGGTAGCAGTAACAGATGTCGACCTAGTAGGGAATCCGTTGTCAGAAACCTTTATAATTACATCATATCTATCAACTGATTCTCGGTCCAATGGAGAAGCAACTTGTAATACACCTGTATTCGGTTCTATCTTAAAGTTTGGGTTCATTTCGGAAGAAGCAAGTTCATATTTAAGTTTTCCAATTGAATCTCCATCGACATCAGAACCATTGATATTAAAAATAACGAAGTTTTCTGGTACATTCTCTGACACCGTAGTAAGGTAGCTTCCTGTTATTGCAGGAGCGTTGTCGTTGACATCAGTAACAACAATTTCTAGCGTCAATGTCCCCGTCCTACGAGGTGCCCCATCATCAGTGGCAAGGATAACCATTTGGAACCTATAAAAAGCAAGTTTATTGTGCTATTTTTAATTGAACTTTGAAGGGTTGAAGGGGTGAATACCTTGAAAACCTGTTTAAGATACCCAAATTACCTTAAGATTGTTTCCCTGTCTAAATTTCCCATAAGAGTCACCACTCCTGACATTGAATCCACCTGGAAAGGCACAACGGAGGCAGACTGGTAACTGACTTTGTTGTTTCCATTTTCAGAAGAGTCTTTGTCAAAAGCAAACACTTGAGTAATCCACTGTCCCAAAGGAGTATCTTCAGATACTTTTTCTTGTAAAGTAGAGCTTAAAAACACTGGTGTATTGTCATTTCTGTCCAGAATTTGAATAATGACTGTACATATACCGGATAAGGATGGTGATCCAAAGTCCGATGCTTCAATCACCAACAACGCTGTTTTAAATTTTTCATAATCTGTTGGAGAGGCAATAGTAACAACTACACTAGTGCTTTCTACTTGGAAGTAGGATTCATCATTTCCAGAAAGAATTTTGTATCTGACTTGCCCATTTGTCGCTCCTACATCAGCATCTGCAGCTGAGACTGTTCCTACAGTACCGCCACTCGAAGTATTTTCTACTATGGAAAAGCTAAAAGAAAATAAAACGAAAGAAATCAATGTTTATCCACAGATAAATAAAAATAAGTAATATATATATGTTGCAATTTATGTAACATCTTCATTTTTTTAAACAGTTACGTACTGATAATTAGTACTGCCGAATTTTGGCGGCTCGTTCACGTCCAGAACTGTCACTAATACGGTTGCCGTGGAACTCAATTCGCCATCGGAAGCCAGAACGTACAGAGCAATAGTAGGTTGTCTCTCTCTGTCTACAGAACTTCTAAGTGTAATCTTCCCTTTTTTCGGATCAATCATAAAGTTTGGATATATACCAACAAATGAATAGACTACATCATCGTTATCAGGATCCACTGCAAAAACTGTAGAAATGGACTTTCCGACAACATCATCTTCACTAACTGTGCCGGACATCACTAGGAAACAGAAATCAATATAGTATCATAATCAGATTATATTCGTCGGCATACCTCGAGCTCGATCCCTACAATTGATTGCGTATCAGAGAGAGAGAGAGAGAGAGAGAGAGAGAGAGAGAGAGAGAGGAGACCTTTGTTAAAAAATTGGGGAGCGGCTTCATTTTCATTTAAAATGTTTATTGCCAGTTTCATCTGTGTGAATAACGATCCATCCGATACGGTTACTATTATGCTGTAGAACGTTGTTGTTTCATAGTCAAGGGTACCTGAAGTAAAAAGGAAAAATGTATGTTTATTTCCTCATCAATGCTCCATGCTCTAAATATATAACTTTTTTTCTACCCAAAATCTAGACAAACAACGATAATATTTGTTTTTCTATAAACCCTCCTTTACTGGGAGGAATTATTTTGGTTAATTAATTAACTGTTATGCTACGGAAATGAACTTAGTGTATCCTATTGTACCCGAAAGTGCTTGGGACGAGCCAAAGTATTATTGGTGTACGAAATATTTCATGATAATTTTAACTTACCTACACATTTTTCAATCCAGAGGAATTTAAAATGTGACGTTTTATTATTCAATCATACATGTAATTACACACTCTAAGGCTTAAAATTACAGTTAAGACACGTGAATTTTATAATAACTTTATAACACTTTACATGTGATATGAAATAAGACGTGAACGTATTATTCCATTATGACGCCATATCTTAAAAGTTCAGAAACGTGCCTGCATAGGATGAACTGTAATGTTTTACAAGAAACCTTAATCTACTCACGTTTGTGTGCAATTTTGTTAAACGGGATAAATGACAAGATAGGCTAAGACCCCTTTTTGGCCCCTGGTTTTGGGGGTGTTTTAGAATGATGCAACAGTTTATCAATAAAAACCTGTTGTCACCCCTGCCACAAAATGAGTGTTGGTTCTAAATTATGGGATACACGGAGGTCACAGGAAGGTCACAAAATATGTCAACTTCCAAATTTTCTCATTTTAATGCAAATTTTCATCGATTTTACAGCACATTTTGCTTCAGGGAACATAGAGCACAAGCTTGCCTATCTACCAAATTTACATATTTGCATTCTCTCTGCTTCCTCCCACTATGAACCTGCACTCAGCAGTTGCGTTCAAAGGACTATAGGAGAAATTCAAAATGATGAAAATTGCTGATTTATATCTTTAAAAAATAAATTTCAGTCAAGGTATTTAATTGTATAATAAATTTCACAAATTGAAAAGAACTGCTATAACTTTATTTTTTCTGTTCATATTTACGCATATTTTTGGAAAGAACGATAGCTCTTCACGCTAGGGTGTTTCACGTTCAAATGAAATGAAATTACTGTAATACATCTATTTCAAGAACGATTTCAGCTCAAAAAATGAATTCTAAGAACTTAGAAAACATAGTAAAAACATTGAATTTCTTAAGTTAAAATCAATGTAAAAGCATTCTCTATTTTCATTATACTGTTAAATTGTTAATTTTCATCAGAGGGTTTCGATGACGTCACAACTGCATCAAAACAAAAGAATTACGAGAATTTGAAGACGACGCGGTGTGTATCCAGATAACTGTGGTTGAGAAGCAAATACCATATATATTATTAATTTATTGAGAAAGGGTTGATTAATCAGGTCTACTCGTTTTTTATTCTTTACTGGAGACAAGCAGCCGTACCCTTATGTAAGCCAGGATTTCCTCTGATATTCTTGACAACATCACAAAATGCAAATATAAGTAATAAAAAACGACTATTCAGTGAACATGGCATTATGAATAGCAATAGCTCTGCTGGCATCTGCTATCGCGCATCATGGAATATGCCAGCAGAGCAATTGCTATTCATAACGCCATGTTCACCGAATAACGTTGTTAATTTCTTAAATATCTCTTACACTAGTATCAGATGCATCTTGTGTATAAAATTCTCAGATAGGCAAGCTTGTGCTCTATGTTTCTCGAAGTGAAAAGTATCTCGAATTTGACAAAATTCCACCAGAATTGAGAAAATTCGGGAAAATGTTCTACTTCTGCTTCCTCGTGTGGCCTCTGTGTAAGCTTTGAATCAAAATTATTGCTGGTTTTAAAACGAGCATCATTTTAAGTTCTTAGCTACAAACTATCGTAATTTTAACTGTGTTCTGTTTTTACATCAAAAAAGGGGCCAAATTCGGCCGTTACCATACCTTGTCCTTTGCATGAACAAAGCTTTTCTTTATTGCATTCTCAAGTTGCCTTGGCATCAATGTGTCTACTTGAGATCTTAGTCAAAGTAATCCAAATACTAAAAAAATATCTGCGACATAAATCTTGAACCCTTATAAGTTCAAGGTTTAAATGCCTTTTACTGTGAGCTGATTTGATACAATTTCAAACCCATTGTCTGCTGGGTCTTGGATCAAGGTGTAAATCAAAAGATCATTATCTTCATCTGAACATCCAAAATCTGCCACAATCACGTCACCTGGAACTGTGAGATACAAACAATCTTAATGTAAATCTTAAACGGTACCAGTTTTGATGCACCAGGTGCGCTTTTCGACAAATTATGTCTCTTCAGTGATCATTCTCTTGCTCTCCTTAAAATTTGTTTGAGTCATTGACTGTTCAAATTTCCTCGATTAGAAATAAATAGTTTGATTTAAAAAAAAGAAACTCAGGATAAGGTAGTTTAATACTTGAGTCAAAGTACATGAAGAGTTAAACATTCAATGCCATGCCTAAAATGTGGGAATAAATAAGTTACCAGAGTTTTCCGACACCATGAGGCTCTCTGCTGATGTTGTACAAGTTGGAGCATTGTCATTTTCGTTATTAACATGGACTGTAACTGTTCCTGTACCCTTGAGTAAAGATGTAACTTTGTATGGGTTTATTTATATGGTAAGTCGCAAACAAGTTAAAATTAAGCTAAAGATTCTTTGAACCTCTTATAAGAGATATATTTTTTACTGTAAATTGTTTGCATTTCATTCATAATCTAGATTTCTTTTGGACAATTATCACCGCTGTATATGCCTATGAGTGACGTGATGAGCCTTAAGCTTTATATACATGTACATTTATTGGAATGTAAGTTTGATCTCTTAAGTAAAAAAGGAGGTTTTCTTTACAAATGAACATGTACCATTAATCAGAAATTACTCTTGGTTACGGGTTATTAGTCCACAATAATATCAATCAAATTTTTAAAGTACCGAAAAGAACTACATATGCCTTAAAATATTTGTAAAGTAGAAATTTCTGAATCGGACACAAATGGTTCCAAAGAAAAAGGCCGAATAAGAATACCTTTCGGATCACAAAACATTTGAAACAAATAAAAGGGACAAAACATTTTAAACAAATAAAGGACAAAACATTGTAAAAGACATTTTTTTGGAATACACAACATTCCATAATTAGACTTTTACTGTACACTATAAGTCCACGTGGCATTAGCTGGGAAGACTGGAAATATAAAGCTTATGTCATTTCCCTCTGTTAGCATCAAAATATTTAATGATAGACAGTGAAATCGGCGGGTCTGGGAAAACTGGAATGAAATTCATTTTCAATCCAACTCAGCTAGAAGACGAATAATTTCAATTTCGGAATGCTTTGAAAAATCATATAATTCGGAATTTTCAGTTTTTAAAGAAATAAAATGCGGACGATCATTTGATTGCTGTTTGGGGGGGGGGGGGTTCTTGGAAATAAATAGGAAAGTTTTTGAGTTTGGAGTCCCCCCCCCCCCCCCTCCCCCCCGGTGTTTGATTGTCAAACTTTTTTAAAAGTAACACGAAAATACATAAATATAAATAAATATATCTTGTCATCCTAGAAATAAATTTATTCTGCTATGTGAAGGCATGAACATATATAACCTGACTCGACAAGATTTACCAGACCCCCCCCCCCTTTCCACTTTAGAATCAAATGGCCGTCCCGGAATGAATATATTTATATCTTCTATAGCTTTTAAGTGCTCTAAAAGTATTGGATAGAAAATTATGTTTAATTTCAAACTACATTTATTTGGGAATTGAAATTATCTGTCTTCTGATTCATACATTAATATTAACACTTTGCGTATGAAAAAAACTCAGATGGATTGAAAATGAATTTCGAGGTAGAATTTTAATCCAATGATTTTTCCGACGTCCATGTCGAATTGTACCCGTCCATTTCGTTATCTATCATCAAATGTTTTGATGTAACAGGAATTTTTCCAAGCTTACTTGTAATGTTCAGGAGTCTTGATTGTCTTTCAGAGTGATTAACAATTTTACTTTTCAGAGACAACTATGTCATTTAGAAAAAAATGTGTTATGCTTTTATATTGTGTTGAAATAAGTTTAATTTGCAATTTCAGATCGATGCATTGACTTACTGTTTGCCCACCGCCGTCCGTGGCCATTACGACAATTTCATATTGTGGAACTCTCTCGAAATCCAATGACTGTGTCAAGAATATTTTTCCTGACACTTTCTCAATGAAAAAGGTTCCAATATTTCCATTTTGCACTACGATCAGAAAATTTCGCTTTATTCCATTTTTTCTACTTTCAATCTACATATATAAGGCTACAAAATTCTGTTTTACATGTTATTACATTTTTAACAGTGAAATACTGTAAACTATTTATTGAATAAAAGTGATATTCTCTCACAGTGTGAGAGGATATCAGAGTGGTATTCTCATAGTGTGATAGAATATTGGAATTGTTGCAATACTCTTCATTTTCTTCCCTTCAACAAGAATGCTGTAAAAAATACTCCCTGGCCTGTTATAAGATAGAGAGAATAAATAAACCGGGCTGACAGAGACTAATACTGCCAAAGTTTCTCCGAATATGTTGGTAAAAATCCATGTTTACAGCTTTTTTTTTCAATCTTGCAATCGCTTAGCTATGACTTCTCAACTGCCCAACTATGACGTCACAGCCTAATGACACTGTGTTACAAAAAGACAGAGGAAGAGGGGAAATCAACGAAAATGTAATAAACAGAAATTCAATGTTTTGTAGTTGAATATGGAATTTATTTCACGAACGAGACAGGATTTTTTTTTTATATTTTCACTCATGCTTCGCACTCGTGAAAATATCAAAAAATTCTGTTCCGCTCGTGAAATAAATATCCTCTTCATATTCTAAAAATCTATTTTACCTACCATTCAATATTTGATATGAGGTCACATCATGTGGAGGGGCATCTGTATCTTCTGCTGTGTAAGCTAATAACTCATCACAAATTATAGTCTGTTCATTAACAGTGACAGTTCGGTTTGTAAAATTAGGGACATAATCATTTATTGATGTAAGCTGGACTAAGACCCATACTTTTGTGCAATGTGTGCCATCAAAAGTCTCGATTGTCATATAATACATTGAAATGCCGACATCATATCCAAGATCTACATGAAGAATCAAAAATACATTAAAAGACAGAAATCTACAAGATGAAAACAAATCGAGAGTGATGGTCAAATTAATAGAATGACGTTAATTTTGATTCATTCTTTCTTTTTCTTTTAAAATAAAACTTTGTTCATTAAACAATTCAAATTGAAAAAAAAAACATTTAAAGATTTAAAAATATTTATCATGAACACAATGATTTTCTTTTAAATTAAAATAAAATTATTTTCTACTTATAATTTAAGTAAAATGTATTATTTTTATCACTAATGATATGATTTGATTTGAACTCTACGAGATCTACTTCATTGAAAAGTACATGTAAGATTAAGAAAGGTCGCATAAGCAATCCCTTCTAAGTTCTTTTATAGATTATAGATTTTCTTCTAGTTTTTAATATTAATGTATACATAGACCTTGTGAAACTTTAAGGTCACCGTCAGAAGAAATTTGGAAATTTCTCTGGTCACCAGATAGGATCTGATAGGTCAATGTTGTCCCTGCATCCCTGTCCGTGCAGCTTATTGAAAGAACCTTAATAAAAAAAGAAAAAAAAAATGGGGAAAGAAACTCATCTTTAGATATTACCTTAATTCGCTTGAAAATGTTTATATATATATATATATATATATATATATATATATATATATATATATATATATATATATATATATATATATATATATATATATATATATATATATATATATATATGTATGTATGTATGTATGTATATATATATATTGTAGAAAGAGAACATAGTCATTGAGTAGGTTGAATTTCATGCGGTCATAAACAGTTGTACGGAAAGGTACCGATTTCATACAAAAGAATTAGATTTACTACGGTTTGCTGCAAGTTAGGTACCCTGAAATTGCCATATATATATATATATATATATATATATATATATATATATATATATATATATATATATATATATATATATATATATATGGATAGATTAGTTCAGTATAATTTTTTATGGCAGAGTTGCAGTCAATGATGAACACAATATTATCTTTCTTAGTGTTACCGATAAGGGGCTTATCCTTAAAGTCAAGATACTTGAACTTTTAATGACTGGATAAAACTGAAATCTATTCTCATCTATTCTCATTATTACTGTGTCTTAGCTGCCTCTAAGTATTTACCGTTGTCCCAATGGCTTGATCCTCGCGTATGGTTATGTTGGATTCCTTGGGCGTGCACTCTGGTTTTGTTGTCATTGACATCAGCAATTGTGACGTCAACAACAGCTGTGGAAGATAAACCGCCGCCATCGCTAACTTCTATAGTGAAAGAGTAGGCTTTGATTGCAGATTCGAAGTCTACAGATTTTCTCAAATATATCTTCCCAGTGGTCTTGCTTATCAGAAACGTGTTGTCGGTGTTTCCAGCTGTTTGTGAAACATGTCACATTTGGAATAGACACACATAATCATACACATATATGCCCTTATGACATAGTTTGATTTATTATACCTCTGTGAATTTTTTTTATATAAAAATATTACGAATAAACATGCTATTTTTTCCAAACAACCCCTACCGTGGAATAGTTTTTGTGCTATTTGCCCATGGTGAAATAGTCATTAAACTATTCACCGGCAGCATTCTGTTTCCCTCGCTTTTCATCTCGGAACTCTTCTGGTTTTATAAAGATTGTGACGTAACACAAGTAAAGACTGCTTCGGTATAATAAAATACTTATTTACTGACTATTCGGACAATAGCAAGTTTATCGTTCCCCTCGACAGCAACTATTTCCCTCGGCTGCGCCTCGGGAAATAGTTGCTGTCTTGGGGAACGATAAACTTGCTATTGTCCTCATAGCCAGTAAATAGGTGTATAATGTTTTTCAATAGACCTTACAGAAAATATCCGGGCATTTAAGGAGCCATATCGGCTTGCAAAGTAATCCAACGGGACTAGATTTGTGTTGCTGACATCACAATATATTTTTGACGTAATAAATATCCGTTAAAATGGCAGTTCTAATATTAATTGTAAGGATGTGTATAACCAGAAATTTAGAGAGATTTCATTTCATGAATGAAAAAAAAATATATTGGTAATACTTAAATAATGTGTAATAAATAATTTACCTATTATTTGGTACATAAGTTCGCCATGAGTTCCCCTGTCACCGTCTGTTGCATTCACATCTAAGATCTCTGTACCAAGACGTGTCTCCTCTGGAATCTACATAGGAAACCGTTTATTTATAAAAATGCTTGAAAATATTTAGCAATATCTTAAAAGCCATTCTTTCAAATTGCTGTGTTGAAATATTGTGTGATAAAAGTGCACAAATCTCATCTTTTGTTTAAAACATAATCCGATATAGGGACGTGAAAAGGATTTCCTTACCCTTTTTCTGAGTGTTTTTTATTCATCTTTTGGACAACATCTTTATTTTACCTGTATGAGCAAATACCCTTGCATTTGTATCATTTCTCGCCGATGCTTGAAATTACCCCTACTTATTTCGATTAATTGATAGTTATTTCCACTTCGAATGATTTCAAACATTTAATTCTGAATTTTGTCTAATCCAGCCTTTTTCTATAGAACCATTGCTGTCTGGATAAAACAAGTTTAACTTTACTTAAAAGTGAATTCCCTTTACTCAAATATACAGTTTTTGAAAATACTTAGTCTTTTTAAATAAAGAGTCGAAAATATTCAAAACAATATTCAAATAAAAGTTAAGAAAGACGACGTCACACTCTGTTGAACCTTTTTTTTTTGTGCTCTAATCCATTGAATACTTCCCAATATATACATATATCTATATAGGGTTTGCTAGTTTGCACTTAATTTTGAATACCATAAAATAATTACCTGTATGCAATCAGAAGAGTTCTCACACATAAGAAATCTAAACAATATTTGAAATAAATAGTTGAATCCCTTACACTTGTTCTCAGTGGTTGATCCTCAATGGTAGGATTGAACTCATTAACAGGTATAATGTTGACTGTAACCGTCAGGGTTCCCGTTCTTCGGGTATCTCGAGTTGAGCTATCAATACCTATGACTACAAGGATGTACCTAGTGTCGCCGCTGTCGTAATCGATGACAATGTTACTCGTCAAAATTGTCGCATTAACTGTGTTAGAACCTGTCCTAAACTTTTTTAAATAATCATCTCCAGACAAGATAGATATAGTGGAGCAACCGTCTGAATTCCCTGCTGGCTCTCTGTCCTGGTCAGTGCAGACAAACTCAGCCACCAGAAGATCTAAATGTAGTCTGTGTTACCAGTATCTTAATTCTTTATAATTAGAAAAGATAACAATTTCCTGGATTGTCTCGATTTATTACCAAAATTATTTACACAAATAACAAAATTTATTTCAAATCACTTTGTACAAAGTCTTTGAACCCTTTTTGAATTGAAATTGATGTGATAACAGTACATTATTTATACTTTTTCATCAAAAAACCTTACCTTGAGTTGAACCTTCTAAAATTGTAACAGACAGTGTCGAAGGAGTGAAGACCGGGTCATATTCATTTACAGGAAGTACAATGACTCTCAAAAGTGGGCACGGATCACCAAGAGCTTTACTAGTGGACGGATCGCGAACCCTGGATCAATTATACACCAAAATCGTAAAGCTTACTGAACAAGGGAGTATTTGTTCATAAACTAATAAAACACAGAACTGATTTAGCTAGAAACATACCAAACATTGTTTACGTAATATTCTCTTGTGTATTCGAAGTCAAGATTAGCTGTCAATAGAAGATTTCTTCCCGACAGCTTGAAAGGAGGTCTGGCACCTCCATATTGATAGTAGATTACAGTATCCCTGTCACTATCAAATCCTAAATACTGGTACACTATTCTGCCAACTTTCCAGCCCTCTTCAATATTGATTGTGGTTGCAGATGCAGGCTTTACACAAACTGCTTTTGCTGCATGTCCTAGAGGAAATTGAAATTCACTTTTGGAAGAGTAAAGGCTGTATTACGATTGACAATTTACTGGATAAATCGAATCAAGAAAAATAATAAAATCACAAATAATTAATCATCAGAATCATTTAATTTAATGGAAATATACATCAAAAAACTAAAAGAGGAATATGTTCGATGTCATACATGTACATGTTGCTCATGATCAGCTGTGACAGTAAGTAAAGTTTGAAAGCTAAGGTTTGGTAACAGCAGTCTTTTGTATGTTAATTCTATGCTTATCATTTTGGCAATTTAATCATCCCATTAAATTTGCCTTTTCAAACTTGTTCCATTTATTCACAATAAATGACATTTAGAGAATCATTAGAAAGGAGGGTTGACCCGTAAAATCGTGATATAATATAATAATATTTTTAATGAAATATATTCAAAAATAAGGATTTTATTTTACTTGAATGTGCACAGGGTATGGCGCACGACCAAAAAACTGGGGTTGTCTCAGTTAGAAATGACGCCTTAAGAGACTTGATAACCGAATATAATAAAATATAAAAATATCACTATATTATAATACAAGTGGAATGGGCATTTTGTTTTAAACGGAAGCTTTTTGACTGAGTCCCCTGGTAGATCAAAACATACAAACAATAAGGTATTGGCAATGACGAAAGACGCTATCAATACAGACTGTCGAAAAAAGAATACATATTTAGTACAGTGAAAGTGAGAGTACCTTCCGTAACTTACTTATACAAGTTTTCATAAGATCCCATTTGTTTGCGAGATTGGTCCCTCGACTGTTTTTGGAGGAATAAAGGGGAACTCGAGTGTGTGAGAAAGTAAAATTCCTGGAATTAAAGAGGGGCTTGTCCAACTTTCATAAGCAAAGATGAAACGTGACGTTGCTTCATGCATTTTGACGTTATCATCCGTGCGCTGTAAGCCGATACCACATTTAATATAAAATCCCATATTTTGTTTATTTGTGCATGAAACTCTTTAAAATTTGCAATGTATATTGATGAAAAATGTACTAAAGAGTAGGGAAAATTTTAGAAAGCAGTATTGATTATTTTTCACTCTAGACTACTTGTCCACGATTTTATCGGACAACCTTCGTATTTCGTTGCTTGGTTTTGATTTGATTTTATACTAGGTAAGAAAATTTAACAATGATCCTTATAATAATTTTAAAAAAGAATTCCATGTCATAAAACCATTTGACCAATTTTTCAAAACATAATCTAGTCATTGCAGGTCCATTGCATATTTCAAATTTCAAGATCACAAAAAATCATATAAGAATTATTAATTAAACAGCAATGATAAATTAAATATTTTTATAGTTTTAAGGTTTTTTTCTTGAGTTTAATTAAGGAGAAGAAGGACCTTGAGCTGAAAAAAATACTTGTCATTCAATTTTTTTTTTCATATTTTGTATATTTCTAATTAAGTATGTCCCACATATCTTAAAGCAGTTATAACATTAGGTTTCTTACCTTATTATAGAGATATTGATGAACAAATATTATGCCCTACAGTATCTAAGTGGAGTTTTAATTCTCAATATTTCTGGGCTCATTACTCTGTCCATAATGGGTTTTTAAGCATATATAAAAATATGTAAGTGGATATGTATCTTTTAAAATATATCAGAGTATGAATAGGGTTTAAAATTCGTAAAAGCAAGTTTCTTCTATCACACAGCATCTTCATAGGGAAAATTACGTACTTTTTAAGACAACTTAAACAAAAAGAAAACGTAATTTACAAAAAATTCTGTCATTCAATATTTTTGAATTTACCATTGAAATGCAAGTCCCTCAAATTAGTGTTTAACTGTAAAAATTTCTAATAGTGAAGCTGACCTTAATATTGCACAGGACATCGTGGAAGAAGACATAAGCATGACAAAAACCCGTCATGGTTCACATTACTCGAGTACGGGAAAAACCATCTATGATGTCATACGTAAGCTAAATAAGCGAAACAAGATATACCTACATAAGATTTCCGTCATCATCCATGCAGAAATAATTTTTGTGTTCCCCGTTTCTCAAAATATTTCATCAGATACTGATAATGACCTGTTTTTACATAATAATACCACCCCTGTATTCACCGAGTATGATCTAACAGATCGTGTATGACGTCACCGACTTGTTGGACGCTCAGTTTAGGGAAACAGAGGGGTTGATCAATCTTTTATAATTTGAAGATGTTTACAAAAATGTTAAAAATTTTTTTTTATATTTTTTTTATATTAAGTGGTAATTAAAGTAAAAAAAAATCAAAAATTTATACAAAAACGTTTTGCACCTATATAAACGGAGACTATGACGTAGTTGAACAG